TCTCTATATATGTGTTTCTATCCCTCTTTCTCTTTCTCTTTTTTTTTTTCGAGTGCTCTACAGAACTATATTTACATTCTGTCTCTTACACTAATACACAGTCTCTCACTCGTTTCGTATTTAGGCTTTTGTGTTTAAACAAGAGAGATGTAACAATTTGTGTCTGTGATTTCTTATTTGCTGATCTGGTATGAATTTTTTCCTTTTCTTTCCTTTTCTTCCTCATATAAATATAATATGTTTTCTTTTATTATTTATTTTACTGGATATATCAACATACTCAGCTTCATTTCATCTTTTATTGTTTTTTTTTTTTTCTCTGTTCATTATTTTTATTATTATTTTTACTCTGCAGATAAGCGTTGCGAACCAGCAGTAAATAATATATATATATATATATATATATATATATATATAAAGAGTCAAACATCCCACGGAAATGCAATCATCACTAGAGGGTAAATTGGAACATGACTTCACAGATGATCTCCCAGTGGATGTTGCTCTCCAGTACCGAATTCTAAAAAAATTACTTCCATCTCATGGAGGAGAATGTCAACATACAGACAGTGCAGTTTCTCCCTTTAGGCATGTTAACGGAAATGATAGGAACGGTAGTATACCTCACAGTATAGTATCACCTTGCTATTTGCCGCCGCAATCAATGGTGGGATTTGCAAATCAGCGAAGGGTCACGGATTATCGTCAACCACCGATCTCATCATCATTATTATTAACATCATCATCATTATCGTCTTCACCATTAAAAATATCACCCGGATCCGTCACTGAATCTACAGAGGAAAGTGAGAGAACACTGTGTGAAATTGAACGTGGTGGTCCCATTCTCGATCAGTTAGTTCAAGATCATCTTGTCTATACCCAGCTGTATAGTCTACTAAAAAATACTCAAAAAAATGCTTGGGATTCACTTTTTGACTATGAAACAAATCAAAGAGATTTGATAGAAAAAATGTCCGAATGCACATTTGATAATGGGATGTTATTATTAGTTAAAGAATTACTCCTGCAACTCTCTATATATTCCAAACGAACATCAACAGCAGAGGCTAGGGAGCGTCAATTACAGTCTGATATGGAGGAACTTTGGCTCCGGAATCAGCAGCTTAAAGAGCAGCTGCGAAGTATAGAATTCTCACGCCTGTCAAGAGTAGAGGGAATACAGGAACAAGAAAGTACAGTTCATGCATTAGAAATAACTCAAGAGGAACTGCAGATGTCACGTCAAATTATTTTAGAACTTCAACAACAACTGAAGGATAATGAAGTGTCGTCTAAAGAGGCTCTGCGTTCCATGATGAGTGAAGTGGAAGAACTCAAATTACAGTATTGTCAATTAGTGAATTCCCAATCAAACAGTATAATAAACGTAGATAGGGGGTCGAGTATGGCTCCTATTAATACTACCATCCATACCAATACTACAAATGTTACCACTGTAACTAATGTTCCTGAGTTTAAAGAAAATGAAAATGGTATAATGGCACTAAGGATGCAGGTAGAACAACTTCGTCATCAGTTATCGTTAAAGGATGCATCTATTAATATACTTAATGATGAACTTGCAGAATTACGTGAAGTGTCCAGGGAATTGGGGGCATCTCAAGCACGAGTACGCACATTAGAACGGAGGTTAAGTGCAACCAGAGCCTCTTCAGGTATTCGTGGTTAGTGATAGAAGTTCTGATCTATTTATTCTGCAAATCAAATAATAGATTGAATGACGAGGAGAGGAGAGGAGAGGAGAGGGTAGTGTGTTGTGTGTGTATATATCTGCAGAACTCCTTCTTTTTTTTTTTAACTTTTATCTTCTCTTTTTCTTACCTTTACTCTTTTAACTCTTACATTAGCTTCCAGACTCAAGCAGAGAAAATAATAATAAAAAGACATTAAGAGAAAAGGAAGAAAAAAAAAAAAAAAAACGATACGAAACTAAAAAAAAAAAAAAGGAAAAAAAAACCTAAAAAAAAATCATTATTAGGAGGGTTATTTTCAGTCGTGGGTGAGCAGAAATGCTGACGCACGTCTCGGCGCCCGATTCAGAGGGGAAGGTCACGTACACTTTCGACACTCAATCTAAAGTGGAGGTTCCCCAACGGTATGAGGTGCGTAGTCTGGTTGGTCGTGGTGCTTATGGTATTGTTTGTAGTGCGGTAGATAGTACAACTGGTGACACTGTTGCAATTAAAAAAATCAGTAATATTTTTGGTGATGTTGTAGATGGAAAGCGTATTTTGCGTGAGGTTAAGCTGCTGGGCTTCCTAAACCATCCTAATGTATTATCTCTTAAGGACCTATTTCGACCTTCTGATCCTGGTTTTTCAGATATTTATGTTGTTACGGAGCTTATGTCTTCGGATCTCCAGTCTATTCTAAAGTCTTCTTCGGTTAAGTTAACAGAGGTACACTGTCAGTACTTCACGTATCAGCTGCTGTGTGCGCTGCGGTACATTCATAGTGCAAATGTCATTCACCGTGACTTGAAGCCCGCTAATTTACTCACCAACTCGGACTGTGATTTGAAACTCTGTGACTTTGGACTGGCGCGGGGAAAGGGGCCGAAGATGACCCACTACGTAGTGACGCGCTGGTACCGGCCGCCGGAGTTGTTGCTGGTGGGCGACGACTACGACGGGGCGGTGGATCTCTGGGGCGTCGCGTGCCTGGCGGTGGAGATGTTCACCCGCCGCCCGCTCTTCGCCGGCCGCGATTACATCCACCAACTCAATCTCATCACAGACCTCCTCGGCGTGCCGGACGTGCTGCGGGACCTCCCACACGTGCACTCCCCAGAGGCGCTCAGCTACATCCGCGCACTCCCCCCGCGCGAGCGACGGCCGCTGGAGGAGGTGCACACCGAACTGCAGGCGCGGTACTTCGCCGCCAGTCGCGCGCGCGAGGATGGCGCCGGCGACGCAGAGAATAACTACGCCATGTTTAAGGACTTTCTCTTTCGGCTGTTGAGATACAACCCGAAGGAGCGCATGACGGCGAAGGAGGCACTGGCACACCCATGGCTGCGGGAAGTGCGCAACAACTGCGGTGGGGAGGAACTGGAGGCGGAGGCGAGTGAACGCTTCTTTTGGGAATTTGATAGCAGCGAACTAAACGCCAGTCAGCTGAGGCAGTTGCTGATGAATGAGGTCATGAAGTACAATGATTAGACATCATTGTCAAAAAGTAAAAAAAAAAAAAGCAAAAAAAGAAAGGGATAATAGGAAGAGGAGGAAGAGGTGGAAAAAAAAAAAAAAGGAACGAGAGACACCAACCAAATAAATAAATAAAAAGGGGATAGCTAAAAAACAGAGTGGGGTGTTTGTTTGTGTGTGTGGAGAGAGAGAGAAAGGTAAAAAAAAATATATATATATAGTTCTTTGTTAATATGTGAACATACATACATACATACATACATACATACATATATAAATATAGATATGCATATATATATATAAAGGGGACCGGTTTAGGCGAGAGTGAAAGAGAGAGAGTCTGTGTGAGAAAGCGATAGAGTACGCTAGTTAAAAAAAAAAAAACAGATGTATGTACACTATTATTGTTGTTTTGTTTCCTTTCTACTGTCTATCCATAGTGTTTTCCCCTTTTTCTCTTCTTCTTTGTTTCCTTTCATTGTTGTACATCATTACCACGAAAGTGATTATATATTTGACTATTATGAAAGTATCATAATTCTAATCTTATTTTTTTTTTTTTGATATATATATTTTTTATTGTTTATATGTTATCTATTTTGTTTCTGTTTTATGTTTCATCTCCTTTTTTTCCTTTCATTCTGTTTAATTCTTGTGATAGGTAGGTCTATTTTTTTTTTTTTTGTCTGTGCATGAGTTACCGTAACTCTTCGGTTGCACAGCAGTTGATAAAGAATTTCTATTTCTAAAGATAGTCACACCTTCTGATAATTTGGAAGAACGTTTTATTTTGGGTACGTCGTTTTTCCACTAGTATATTAGTAACCCACGTTCTGTTTTTTTTTTTTTTTTGTTTTATTGTCATTTATTAGTGCTATTATTCTTTTATTCCTTCACTTCGAGGAGTGACAGAATATATTGCCTTTTTAATAAATAAATATAAATATATATATATTTATTTATCAATTATATATTTCTAGAATGAATACTGGACCAGGAATTGACGATAAGGAGAAAAAAATTTCTTATTATCCGAAGAGTTCTGATGGTCGGTACATTCGAATGGAATTTATTAGTCGTGGTCGCTACAAGGAGGTGTACGCGGCATTAGATGTGGAGGAGGGTACACAAGTGGCATGGTCTGAGACGCGCTGTACAGTAGGCGAGAGTGCGGAGTTACTTTTGCAGGAGATATTTCTCCTTCAGCAACTAAGCCATCCTAATCTACTCCACTGCAGTGCTTGTTGGGTGGAAACCACAAGGAACTGTTATGTTTTCATTACAGAACTCATGCCAAGTGGAACACTTAAGGAATATCAAAAACTTATGCCACAAGGACGGTTTCATACTAAAGCCCTTGTACGGTATGCACGTCAAATTCTCTCTGCATTACAATATCTGCATGAACGTGATATCATACACCGTGATGTGAAGTGTAGTAATATCTTTGTTAGTGGTCATCAGGGTGAAGTTAAGATTGGTGATTTAGGCCTTTGCACGATGGAAGGCGTTGGCTCGGATGTAGTGGGAACCCCGGAGTACATGGCTCCTGAGATCTATGAAGGTCAATACAGCACGGCGGTGGATGTATGGGCCTTTGGGATGTGTGTGTTGGAGATGGCCACGGGGAAGAAGGCCTACAACGACTGTGAAGATGTGGGAGAGATCCACCGCCGGGTGTCGATGGGAGTTCTCCCGCACGTGGCGGAGATCGCCGATGTCTCTGTTCGCTCGCTGGTCGCGCGGTGTCTGCAGCGGGATCCCGCCGCCCGGCCGAACACCACACAACTCCTGAACGACCCGCTCTTCTTTCCTCTGGAGGAGACGGTGTGTTCTTCTCTCAGCCGCTCGCCCTCGCGGGAGCCCACCGTCAGTCTCAACGACCAAACGCAGCAGAGCGAACACGAACAGGACCCCGACAACGAGCCCGAGCCCAGCGTCGACACGGAGATGGACCGCGAGGGAGAAGAGGAGGAAGTGGAGGACGGGAGGTTTACAGACGCGAGTTCGTGGCTGCGGGAGGCACCGGCGGAAATACGCGCAGACGCGCTTCGTTGTGCCTGGCGCCGTGGATGGCTCTCCGTCTCCACACACGCCAACACATACTCCGGCTTCAACAACCGCAGTAACTCCCAAAACTTGCACCTCCACCGCCGCTCGCTGCCGTCGCCCTTCGCCTTCACACTCCCACACCCACACCGGCGGCACACGCATCACAACCATCACCACCGCTGGCATCATCGACAGTTCTACGTCGCTAGTAGTAGCGGCAGTAATGTCTGCAGCGGGCTGAACACACCAAAGATGACCGCCGGAGTGCTGAGATCAACTCCCGCATTCTGTGCGGAGTTTGATGGACCACTGGACTGTACAGAGGCGCGGCAAGGATCACTCTTCTCAGGCGATACACTCCACACAAGTAGACGATGCGATTTTTCAGATTAGAGAATGTGGAGAGAAAGAAGAAGAGAGAGAGCGGAAAATGTGATGATGATGATGATGATCATGAAGAAGGAACAAACAAACCAAATAAACAACGAAACTAAAGGAAAGGAAAAAAAAAAAAAAATAGTGTGAGACTTTCCTTTACCTTATCAACACGAAAAAAAAAGTGTTCTAAAGTTAGTTGCAAACGTAGAAAATATGTGGCAATATATCCGGAATAAAAAGAGAAAGAAACAGGACCGAGAGATATTGATGGTTTTTTTTTCTTTTTTTTTTCTTCCTTTCTTATCCCCTCCCTTTGTTTATTGTTTTTCTCTGTATAGCGTCTCATTCTCTTGTTTTATGAGTGTCATAGTGTCAATAAAACAACAGAAATGTCTCTCTTCAGATGTGGGCATATTCCCGTGGGTGTATTTATGGGGGATAAACTGGCGATTGTACTTTTATCCCCTTTATTCCTCTCTTTATTTTTGTTTTTGTTTTTCCTTTTCCCTTTTTTTTTTTGATTTTATTGCTTTTTTCCCCTTTTTTTCTTCTCTTTGGTTTTACTCGCTACTGTCTCTGCGTTTATCTGCACACATAGCCTTTATACGCTGCTCCTGTAATATCAACATGTCTTTCTTTCTCTCTCTTTCTCTTTGGTGCACTTCATCACTACAGGGATGCATGCAAAGAAGAGAAGAAAAAGAAAAAGGGGTGAAAAAAATCTTTTTATTATAATTGTAATATACATATGTATATATGTATGTAAAGAGAAAGTAAAAACAAAAAAAAAAATGGATATTAGTGATGCGATTTTTTTCTTTTTTTTTTTGTTTCTTGTGTTCCTTGTTTTTTCCTTTTTTTATTTTATTCCCTTCTTATTCTACTGACCGTGACGTTAAAAGAAAAAAAAAAAAAAGTGTGAATGGAGACATACGATTGAACAGACCGGACTAACAGCATAAGCAGGTATATGCGCTTGTGCCAACGGAAGACCACAACATATACACCACATATACACAAATATTTGCGTTTTATATGAAGACTCCCAATTCCTCGTTTATTATATATTTCTTTATTTTTTCTTTTTTTTTTTTTCTTTGTATATGTATCAACTCTTTTTTCTTTTTTTCTCTCTCCCTTTTGCCATTCCTTATTTATTTATTTATTTATATCTATCTCTCTTTTCTCTTTTAGAGCAGTGTCGTCAAAGCAGAGAAGACTAAAAAAAAGAATAAACACTCAAACACACACACACACATACAGAAAGAAAAAAACAAACAAACAAAAAGAGATGTTTATCACCAGGGGACGTCCTTTTAAGGGAATGTCCCTTTACACAACAGTTATTATTGCTGTTGTCCTTCTTCTCTCCTTGACAATGACAGCAGAGGCCGCATCCATGTCTATATTCAAGACTATTGCCGCATCATACCAGCAGGGGGATCTCATACCAATTATGGTCAGTCCACTAACATCAAAAACGAAAGTAATGCCAATGCCGTGGAAGTCATTAAAGAGATGTTTACAACGGGATGAACGTAAGAAACGTCGACGTAATATTGGTCAACTTTTATTTGGGGATCAACTGGAGGAATCTGGATATGAGGTGAATGTGTTGGAGAATAAAACCTGTGTTCAACTTTGTACGGTAACAATGAAAAAAGAAGATCAAAGATATTTGGTTAAACTTATTGAAGGTCGCTACCGTGGAAACATGTATGTTGACGATTTGCCTGGACTGGAGAATATCGTTCTATCTAAAGGCAATCGACGCGTAAGAACTGGATTTCGCTTGGGTATACCTTCCAGTTTATCCAATCAGAATATTCCATTAGTGAATAATCATCTTATTTTTACGATTTCATATCATCCTGTGGATTCACCTTTTGATTTGGAAGGAAAAACGTACCGTATTGTACAATTCCAAATTGCTACTGCAAGTATTAAACATGGAGACAACGTCTGTGCAACAAATAATCTTTTGTCTGGTTCACCACAGAGCGCATTAGATGAACAGATAACGTACACGTACAGTGTGCAATGGTTAGAGTCTGATCTCACCTGGTCTACACGATGGGATGTATTTATGAAAATGACGGGTAAAGAGTCCCAAATTCACTGGTTCAGTATTGTAAACTTCTTCTTTGTGACCTTATTACAAACGGCAGCTTTATGGTATGTATTGATTCGTGCTCTTCATCGTGATATCTCCTACTATAATGAACCTGATATTGAAGAAAAGGAAGAGACTGGATGGAAACTTGTACACGGTGATGTCTTTCGCCGTCCACGCGGTGTTGGTTTACTTTCTATTTGTGTTGGCACCGGTGTACAATTGGCAATGATGGTTGGATCTACATTGTTTGTGGCTTGTATGGGGTTTGTCTCTCCACAGAGTCGTGGGGTGTTAGCAACTACATTGGTATTCGTATTTGTGCTTTTCAGCTTTCTCAATGGTCTCGTGACGGCAATGCTGACAAAGTATTTTAAGATGCGATCATGGAAGATCATTATCGCCACCAGTCTCTTCTATCCTGCACAGATGTTCTTTGTTTACTTTGTGCTGAACTTTATTCACCTTGGAAACCACGCCGCGAGTACGGCTTCTCTCTCTGCACTTATTATTCTACTGTTACTATGGCAAGGAGTCTCCACTCCGCTGGTAGTGATTGGGGCGGCTGTGGGATTCAGTCTTAATATTGCGGTTCCCGTTAAAGTAAACAACATTCCCCGCACCATTCCTCCATCGCCGTGGTATTTGGAGTCTCCGTTGATAATTCTTCTACCGGGACTTGTGCCCTTCGCCGCCTCACATGTGGAGATCACATATATTTTCAGCAGTGTTTGGCATGGCACGGTGTATTATATGTTTGGTTTTCTCACAGCTGTGTATGTTCTTTCTATGATTATTGCGGCCCAGACGGCTGTGTTCTCCACCTATATTCAACTCAATCGACTTAATTATCACTGGTGGTGGCGTTCTTTCTTAACTTCAGCCTCTTATGGTGTTTGGATATTTGCATACAGTGTATTTTACTATTTCCGTTACTCTACACTAAAGGGATTTATGAGCGCTATGTTATTCTTTGGCTATATGGGAATGGCTGCGTATACTTTATGTATTCTCAGTGGGGCTATTGGCTTTATCGCCTCTTTTATCTTTGTGAACATCATCTACAGTAATGTGAAGGTGGACTAGGTTTGGCAGGGATACTAATAGAGTGAAGTGAGATTGAAGAAGAGGAAGAGGAATAAGAATAAGAACGGAGTGGGTGTGAATAGGGCATCAAGCGAAAATGAAAAAAAAAAAGAAAGAAAGAAAGAAAATAGTTAAACAGAATACACTTCTACATGTGAAAGAGATATAATGAGAAATAATGAGAAAGAGAGAGAAGCGAAATCACACGGAAATGAAACAGCAACGACAAAAAAAAAAAAAGAAGGATCGTGAGGAAATCAGAAGGACGGGGTAGAACAGGAAAAAAAAAAAAAGAAAAAATAAGTACACATGAATGTATGTATGTAAACTGGTATGGGTCTACTACAAATGTAGGTACTACAATGGAGGAGGAATAAGAATAAGGATTAAGGGTAAATAAGAATTAGAAAAAAAAAAATAATAGTAAATAGTAATAAAAAAAAAAGGATTTTAAGTGAAAGTGACAATGCCTTATTGTGATAGTGCGTGAATAATTTGGGGATGGTGAAGTGAAGAAGAAATAGAGTAGTCTCATGTGTGTTTTACTCTTCATTTCCCCCGTTCTCTTGTGTATGGGAAGAATCTCTATACATATTGCTGGCTGCAGAAGCTGTGTAGTTGTGAACAATGAAAAAAAGAAAAAAAAATGATTGACTTGTGATTTCTACTCTTTTTTTTTTCTTTATTTCTCTTTATTTCTCTCCGTTTGTTTGTTTGTTTGTGTGTGTCTGTCACTTTTTTTTTCCAACTTGACATTTGCGTTTTTAGTAGCGATAATCCAACCATCACTGCTTTGTGCTCAACAGGAGGATGTTGTTGGGAAGTACAAAGGTATATATATATATATATATATATACGTGTCTCTCTCTGTGTGTGTGAGTGTTGTGAAGAAAGAAAGAAGAAAAAGAAAGAACGAAGAACAGAGAAAAAGAAAAAAAAAAAAGAAAGAGTGGCTATGAATAGAAACAACGGAGGTACTTTTATTTAATCAAACGAAAAAAGAAAAAAATATAGTTAGGCTCTAATTTCCAAGAGGTTATGTCTTTTCTCTTGATATGTTTGCTTCTGTGCCTTTATTTGCTCAAAGCATGAATGTGGTTATTGTTGTGTTTTTTCACCCTCTTTTTCTCTTTGTTTTTTTTTTTTTTTT